TATACTATAAAATAATAAAAATAAAGCTATTAAGAGTTATAAATACTATAAGGAAGTATTATATTATAAAGAAAATGCTTATAAAGTACTATAATAGTCTTACCTATATTATTAAGTTTAAAAAGATCCTATAGTTTAATTTATATAATATTAATAAGACTAGGGTGTAATTAAAGGAAACTAATAGTAAGACTATAGTTAGGACTATTATAACTTTTGGTTTAAAGTATATTAAGTTAGATAATTTAACCTAGAGCTTGGTTTTAAAGTCTATATTAGTAAACAGTTAGTATCTAACCCTAACTATTATTTTTACTAGTAAAAACCTTTAAGGATAGTAGTTTCTAAGCATTTTTCCTAATTAAAAATATACTATAAGTCTTTTAGGTTAGTTTAATACTAATATTTTCTTTAAATAGTTTATAGAGGTATTTATACCTAAGATTATATTATTAGACCTGTCTTAATAAAGACTTTTAGTCCTAAACTAGTATAAGTTATATATAATAGTAAAACTAATAAAAAAGGCTTAATTAAATAAGATTTAGCTCTTTTAGTTACCCTTATATTCTTTATATATTATATAGCTACTTAATGTTACTATATTTAGGCTATTAAAACAGTACTATTACTAGTTAACCCGATTTTAAGCCTTATATAAAGTAATATTACTATATTAGTAATAACTATTCCTAAAAGCTTATAAAAAGGCTTCTTAAAAAGCCCTGACTTAGAGGAATATTTTAAGTAGCTTCTTAGCTACTAGTCTCTTTTTAATAAATATTAAAAAGGCTTTAAAGTTATTAAAGCCTAAGGAGAAGAAATGCTAGTTATTTAAGGGGCCTATAATACTAAGGAAGTAGCAGGTAGTTAAGGAGACCTTATAGGGAATACCTTAAGGAAGTTAAGATATTAAAAAATAGCTTTAAGAGGCTTAAAAGAATAGAATTCCCTTAATCTATAACTTTAATTATATTATAAGGAAGGCAATAAAGTCTATTAACTAGAAGAATAGTTAAATATAATACCTAGAAAAGGAAAAAGCTATACTTAAAGTATTAGTAGTAGTAAAAGCCTCTATAGGCTAAGTCTCTATTTAATTTAACCTAAACTAAGCTTTTCTTATAATTAAACAGATTATTATAATATAAGATTAAGCTAAGAAGAATATATTATATTAAGTTAAAGAAAATATATAAAAACTATATAAAAAAAAGCTACTAAAAATACTAATAGTAAAGAGGACATTCTTTAATTAGTATTTAAAATCTTAGAATAATTAAATAAATACTTATTGCTATGTAATTAATTAAAGTTATCTATAGATTATATTATAAGGTTATTACAGGTATGCGGGGTCGGGGGGTATACGGGGTAGTGGTGAAATATATTAGACAAGAGTAGTCACGCTTTGAATATTCCTCAACGATGCCCATCCAACCCCAAACCCTGAAGTTCTTTTCCATGAAGGTCTCGGAGGGATATGGAGACGGGGAAAATGCTGTATCGAGATTATCGTCCAGGCCATCTGCCATTGGGTAGTAATAGCCGCCATCTACAGAATTCTTTTCTTGCTGGCATGTCCACTTGATCTGTCGAGAGCCAAAGCTGATGACCCGCGATGACACGAGATGTTCCTGAAATGTCCAGATTCGCATATGCACAGGATCCTTGTCTGTAGAACCGTCTAAGTCCATTTCCGACAAGAGCAAGGATCCTTGAGTCTCGTGGCCATCAACTTTCCACTTGTAAGGCAACTCAAAGATCGAGCCGTAACACCGATCAACCATTCTAGATTGTAGAAATCCCTCATCACCGTCCGAAGCACTTGCAGCTGAAATTAGGATGTCTGCTTGCTTGTAGAACTCTGACATTGAGTTAACTTGATGGTGTGCATCGTCCTCGTCATCTTGAATGATGCAGAAAGCATCCAGCCAAAGATATTCAAGACCGATCTGTCGCGTGACTTCAATGAGGTTCTGAATAGTTTTTGGTAGGCCTATGACTTCGATCCCTGAAGCCATTCTGTAGCCTATGTTTTCCTTGGTCGTTTGAGTTCGTTTTATTGCGTCCTTCTTTGAGCCGTTGCCCCATACATAACTAGCAATAGCAAAGGATACTCTAGCATCCTCGTTTGCTTCCAACAACCCAATAACGGGGTCACCGAGTTGACCTACATCCAGTAGTCGCTTCGGCATAGCCAGGTTTTGTTGATTCTCTCTGGCGCGTTTTTTGCATTTGGCATGACGGCGTCGGCATCTGTGCAACCGCTCTTTTATCCATGTGAAGCTTTCGGCCGAGCCAGGATGGAGATTGAAAGGCGAACCCTCAACAAATTTAGCAGCAAGATCATCTATTGGTTTAGTTAGCATGACAGATCATATCCTTTTTTCGTCTTGAACTAAATAGTTGTTCACCTTTTGGGACGAAAGCGAATAGCATCTCCTCTTCCTCATCTTCCTCGTAACCCTTGACTTGATTATCTTCTGGCTTCATTTCCCATTTGAAGCCAAGGCCCAGCAATATATCACTATTGGTCCAAGTCTGCGGTTTTAAGATCAAGTCGTGACGTGTTCAACAAGCCGGATATGAGATACGGTCGAACTTTGTTTGTAAAGTCTGGAAGAGCAGGCAGCCCGAGGAAGCCATCTCTGCCACTTTGGTGTAGGAAAACTTGCCTGTAGTATTACCATAGGTCGATGTATTATGGATCAGCAGCTTCTGGCAACAAATACAAGAGTGTGCCTGCAGCGCAGTAACTTTAGATTTAAAGCTTAGTAGATCTTGTTCCATTGTAAATAAGAGTATCTAACGATGTTTAGCCGTGCTCCGAAGATGAACGGTAAAGATAGCTCTCGTAACTCACTGTAAAGAATTATTACGACTGGTCTTATGTATATAACCTGATTATAGGCTAGAGGAATTAAATGTAGGCCGCAGGGCTTTTGCTTTCTGTTTCACTTGGGGCTATTTAACGAGAGAACGCTGCAGAAAAGGCTTGAGTGGAAAATTCCCTCGCTTATATACAATCCCAATTGCTGAGAAGTCAGCCTGCCGATACGAGCGGGGTAAGGCAGAATTACTTAACAAGATCAGAATTTATACGTGGCACCTTAAGCAACCAAATATTTGCTGTTGACACTCACCCTGACCTAAAATGTAACCTTGAAATGATGAGGGGGGTCTCGTATTTATTGGGTGCTTGCACTGCCCTATACTGTATTGATATCCAGTAAACACACAGCTGCGATCATGGTTACTGACATGGCCTAGGACCCCGGCCGCTTCTGGCCTTTTCTTTATTAGTAATATGGACTGTATTAATTGAAGCGACAAAAGCTGATTCGCGTAGATGCATTTAGTTCCTTTCAAATCCAGTCGATCACTTATCCCAGTTAGCTTCAAGTTGGACTATCAGCCATCTTTTATCTTGTCAGCAATATCTCAAGCCTTAATGCTTCTCAATCTAGAGGTTACATTACTTCGTTAATACCTCAAATTGCCTTACCGACGATTGCCCCGACAGCAGCTCATCCCTCCGCACTACTATGATTTCACATTGAAATGGCAAGTATCAGAGTCAAGTCACGCCCAGATCGTAAGCATACTGCATTTCTATATCACTCTCATGGCTATGTAACACTGCTAATATATTAGATGCAATCCAATAAACAGCCAAACGGTTTATAAATATGCCAGATTTTTATACTAAGAAAAATCCAAAACACTAGATTTAGAATGATATTTAATATTTAATATGTGATGGCAGGTCGTCGGATCTGCCAGGCCAATTAGCGCGTCCTTGCAGCCTACCTGGTACCTGGCTGGTCTGGGAGGTAAATCTGACCAAGTAAAACGATTTCTCAGATCCTCCGTGAGTGAGCTACCTTCAGCTTAGTATCCAGACTGGCTCAGGGGAAGGTAGCTTCTTAGCTTTTCTATCGCTAGCCCCACAACATTAAACCCGGCCAAGTTGTTTCCAACGTATGGCTCAGAAGGGCACCGATGATTTAATTAGCACAAAGGTGGCTAACACAAAGGCGCCACGGCGAGAGCTCTCTTCGGTGCGGTCTAAATTTGATCGAGATTTATTCCATGTCGTGGGACGCTGTAGCATCATCCCGCAGAGTATCGAAGGGGCGCTGGATCAGTACTCACAATCGACAATATCACATGATCGCGTGCATGATCATACGTTCTTCGACGATACAACGAGTCGGAGCTTGGCTGACTCTGAGTCTCCTACCACAACATCACAGGTAGAAATCATTCACCGTGTTTCGCGCATCGCCGATCGGTCAGATCAATGCTCTTAGATGCTCAGTGCTGAGGCGACCTGGAACCATCTTGTACATTGTCCTCTGCTCAACCTTTTGACCTTCGACGTTTGTGAGGCAAATGAGAGCTTATGGTTGTCACATGCCTCAAAATATATAATCTCCACCGTATACAAGCAGCTTCAACTCTCCCTCCCCCTGTTGTAGGCGTCGTCTGTAATTCCTCCAGGGGCAGAGTAAGTCTTGAAATGTGGCTGACCAACACTACTAGCCTTTTGCTGGAATCCGTTCTGGAGCCTCGTAATGTGCAATACGCTATTCTCTCGCATACGTGGGAGCAAGATGAGGTATCTTTGCAGTACTTTGGCAACCTGGACTTTGCAGGCGAAAAGCCGGGGCCTCAAGTACGCATGGGTTGATATTTGCTGTACTGACTAGACGAGCAGCGCTGAAACAACAGAAGCTATCAACTCCATGTTCGACTGATATAACAGATTCCGGTCTACTTTGGATTCATCTCAGACCTGTCATCAGTCCTAGGCGGAGGTCTCATGCTTGACTGGCTGGCTGGAGGAGGATATCGCTGGTTCAGCTGAGGATGGACACTGCAGGAGCTCATCCCGCCACAAAGGATCCAGTTTTTGGGTAGCGCGTGGCAGCCTCGAGGAGATCGTTTTCCTTTGCGATTGGGAATCTCATAGAAGTCAGGGATAGATATACCTGTTCTTCAGAACAGTGCCTGTCTTTCAAGAAACCCTGTCGCGAGAAAGATGACGTGGGCCTCGGCTGGCAAAACTACCAGTGTGGAGGACATGGCTTATTGTCTGCTGGGCATCTTTAGTATCCACATGCACTTGCCTCCTTTTACATTTCAAGAAGGTGAAGACTAACCATATCCCAGGCCACTGATATACGGCGAAGGAGCCAGGGCGTTTCTTCGACTACAAGAAGAGATATGCAGGGAGAGCACTGATCTGTCACTGTTTGCCTGGAAAGCGAAGTCAGACTCAGACCCAGAGACCTCAAAACAAAGATTCAGAGGGATTCTTGCACCAGAGCCTTCCGAGCTTTCTCATCGCCAAGATGTTCTCGCGTATCACGATTATCTCGATTCAAATTCCGAGTATTTCATGACAAACAATGCACGGCGAATGGAGGCAAAGCTGGGACTTATTGAAGGCCCCGGTTACATCTTGGCACTGAATCGTGTCACTCGTACTGGAAAGCATTTGTCTTCTCCTTTGAAGTGGATTGGTATTGTTGCGGGTACTTTCCTCCCTGAGTCCCTAGTGCCGGTCAAGCACCTATTTTGTAGAATTTGTCTGCGAACTCTGCTTCCAGCAACTCGAACGCCCTTAAGACCTGCATTAATCTACATCCGTTATCAAATTCAGACTGCATAACGACTGGATCTTTGGATGCAGATGAGCCAACAACACTCGAATCGGGCATGGAACCTCCAGACTCAGATGCAGATGCGTCACTCTCATCCTCCCAGCTATCGGGAACCTCAGCAGTAGCCTTAGTCTTTGCTAACGCTTTAGCAATATCCTCGGGTGCTTCATCTGCCTTCTGTACCTCAACCACCTCTGGAATAGCCTCTTTGTCTCCTTCGCTCATGTCACTCATGTTGTCATCACCATCAGTATCCTCCATGTAGAAGCCGCCCCCTGAGTCAATCACGCCCTTGAGGCTGGTCACGATGGTCTTAAGTACGAGGGAAAAGTCCTTAAGATGAAACCACACGTCGCCCCGCTTGATAAGGTTATCGCGCACCAGCACTTTCAAACTCCCGTGTTTGAAAAAGTCATAGAGATAGGCGTTTAGCTCAACAGTGGTATCGATCGGCCAGACTGGGAGGTAAGGGATAGAAGACTCTTCTAGAAATACCCCGTTTCTAACTGTCGAACACAGCTCTTTGATTGAGTCAAAGTCATCCGTGAATCCAGAAAGTGCCACAAACGGGGACCGGATGACCGGTGGAGGGTCGCTTGTCAGACTGCACCCGCTTCCTTTCTCTGGTCCAATCGGAATCTTGGTCAGTGGAAGTGTGCGGTCTGGTAGGTCATGCAAGTGTGCATTGATGTAAGATGATACATAGTCCTTGAAAGTCAAGAGGGTTTCCCGGTTATGCCGAACAAGTAGTTGCTCTGCAGCAACTGGCAGTCGTTTGAGGAAGATATCAGATGAAGAGCTTTCGACGATTTCTAGGGCTTTCGCAGTCTGCTGAATAGGAATTCTGTTGAACAGGTGGCTGAGCACCAACATCATCTCGCGAAGCACTCTCTCACGATCGCAGTCAATGTCGTTGCACAACTTATGAAAGTAGCCACCGCGGAGCAACGAGTGAAATGCAAAGACGGCGTTCTCCGTAAAGTACAAATGACCTACTAATCCCGCGAAGTGAATAGGCACTCCTTTTACCGAGAGAAGGTTTTGGCGTCTCAGGTATTCGATCGAGAAGCGCAGGTGGTGTTTGACTGTCATTTCGGCATCTGGTCCTCCTAGGTATAAGCGAGTTTGTGATAAGAGAGATTTGACCGCGCTGACAGCGAATTCATTGTTGTTCGTTCCACTCAGGAGGACAAATAGACGAAGGACAAGCGTGGTTGAGATTGGGAATTGGCCCTTAAGAGCAGGTAGCCGAGAGGACATGATCTCGTGCACCCGATCTCGGCTGATACCGTTAAAGACGACATTTCCAAGCAAATCGAACCCACGTCTTCCAGCGCGGCCGGACGCCTGGCGATAGTTCTGAGGGGACAGAAACATAGAGTCCCCGCTGAAGACGACTGTCTTGCAGGGCATGTTAATGCCAAGTGCAAGGGTTCCAGTTGCAACGACTAGTCGGATATAGCCCTTCCGGAAGAGTATCTCTACACTACATTCAGTCAGAGACCATTCCTCGCATCTCAGTCCTGGGTCAAGGGTTGAATGTGAGATGGACAAATAGATTGAACTTACATGCGACGGTACTGGAGGTTCATACCGGCGTGATGAACACCCAATCCACGTCGAAGGGCATCGATTAGCCATAGCTGGACTTTCTTCGGATCCAGTCGAAGCAACAAATCGTCAAGGTCTTTCTGCTGCATTATTTTGGCGTCTGCGAAGCTGAAGTGGTCTAAGGGGGCCTCGGGATCGAAACTCTCCCAAGGGCTGGCCTCAACACTCCCCTCCTCCCGGGCGATCTCAAGCTTTGATGGATTCCGTTCCCCACTTTCTGAGCGTTTGGAGAATCGAACCTCGCGGTTATTTCCTTTCTGCCGTTGCCACTGTTCAAAGTCGCGGAGTTTCTTCTTCCAGGTAGTGTCACTTCCCTTGAACGCCTGTTCGGCGTCGTTCAGTTTACAGGAGATGCTTCTGACAGCTTTTTCGCACTCGGAGCGGTCGTAGTTAAAAACAAGAGCTGGCAAGGCGTCCTGTAAGTGAAGCTCACATGCCAAAGTAAACAGCCTATCAATATGGTCAACGGGATTTGATTGCACGCAGTGTTGGATCTTGGAAGTCCTTTCATTATGTGCTGAAGAGTCAATGCTCTCTTGCAAAACGTAGAAGGGAGATTCGGGGTTCTCCATGGCCTCCTTTAACTTCCTCTTTAGGCGTTTCTCCCATTCCACAATATGAGATTTTTCGATCACCTCTGGCAGGACTATCAGAGGGTCAAGTTCGCTCTGGTTTCCGAGGAGGTCTTTCGTAAAAGTGCTCTGCATGTTGTTCCAAAGAGTGAGGCAGTCTCTAGCCTCCAGAGTGATATCATCTAGCGCTGCAATGTTCCTGTTAAACAGATCGGTCAGTACCTGCCCCCAGCCTCGGCATTAGGGATCAAACTCGCCTGTCTTTAAGGGCTACTATAGGGTGCACAAACTTGAAGTTTGGACTGATGCTGTCACCCTCGTCGAGCCCTGGTACAGGAAGTCTGGAAACCTTTGCGAGCCCATTGAAGCTAAAGTTATGCGGAGGCTCGTAAATGAATTTACGGAGATCAGAGTATCGGACTTCATGCACAACCATCTTAATTCTAAACCCCTTTTGTGCCTGTAATTTGGAAAGCCAGTCCCTAAGCTCGTCAGGGTTTCCAACAGTCGCCGAGAGGGCAATGATAGGACACGGGGCAAGCAACAGCAGCTGTTCCCAGATGATACCATCCTCAGCTTGTCCGATACAGTGAACCTCGTCAAATATGATTCTCTTCACACGCCGTGACCATGCAGTTGGGCTGCTAGCGTTTGTCGGGGCCAGGAGCATGATTTGCAACATGTGAGGCACTGTAACCAAGATTTGGCACCGAGCAGGGTTGTTGATGCGGTAATCACGTGTGTGGATTGCCCAAACGGATTTGCCTTCCTGCGTCCTGAATCGTTTGGAGAACCGGGCCTCGATCTCCGCAGCAATCTGGTTCACGAGGGCCTTTGTGGGAGCGACGTACACCAGGACTCCATCGTCGCTCTTCTCAAGTACTTTCTTCATGGCGTAGAAGGATATGAAGGTTTTTCCTGCAGATGTTGGAGCCACAACTAACAAGCTTTCATCGGCATCAATCGAGTCGAGAATGTCCCGCTGCCAGGCATCTGGTTCAAAGGGCACTCGTCCATCGGGCCGAGAGTCAAATCGCCTATCCATGTAAGGCCCCCCGTGATGAAGCTGAAGAAGTCGATGATCCTGTAAAAGTCTCGGTGCATCTTTCATCATCATCCAAGGTAAGATGGCGAAAGGCAGCTTGCGTTGTGGCCCCTGGATAGTGATCCCCAGCTGGCTTATTGCGAGGGTTCTCATGATTCCTTGGGCGGCACTTGCAACATCTGGCGTACACTTGTCCGATCTCGAAATGACCTTAAGCCAGTTCCATATCATAGATATAAGGTATAGCCCTAAGAACGTTAGTTCCGTTTTTCCAATAACAGAAAAGTCATTCTGATGGCCGAAGTTGGAACTAACCTCTGGAGGAATCCTCATCGACCTGTTTACGCGTCTGGTCCCAGATTCTCCGAAGTATGTGACAAAGATACAGTAAGACTTCTGGCTTAACAGAAATATGGCTTCCTGGGGATCCATCAGATAGAAAATCCAGAGCCTTGAGATATTGCTTAACTGGACTACCAGTGTTCTCAATTTCGGCACATTTTATGGCCCAGAGGTGCAAGGCATCGTTTTGCTTTGCTATCGCTTTCTTCTCATTCAGCGCACAGGCAGCTAGGAGTGCCTTCTGTTTACCACCTCTGAGACCTTGATTGCCTACCTTTGCCTGCCTTCTACCGTTTGTGTCTGCATCCAACCCAGCGTGAGCCGACTTTTGCTTGGTGAGTGCGCCCACAACAATAGTTTCTCGGCTGAAAACCTTTCCAACCGAGTTGCTGAGACTCGCTGCGTACAAAATTACATCTGCCATTTGTCTTTGATGTCTCCTGCGCCTAAGATTCTCCAGCCAGACGGGGACATTGTCACGTGTCATCCTTGTACTAGTGGTGATTGGTTTGTAAGCATGCCAGTGACGAAGATCTTGGAACACAACCTCAGCAACAGGATCGACATCATCTACCACTTCTTTGACCCAGACATCCTCGAGGAACTCATTTAGTACGGGGTGATCGAACGA